TCTCCAAGTCCCTGTTGCTCAGTGACCTGGCAAAAAAATAAGGAACCCCTTTTTTTTGGCCTGGCAAGAAGGCGACCCCGGTGAAAACCTATGCCCTTCTGGGGATGACCCCAGTTTTGTCCGGAGAGAACAAACCAAACAGCTGGCCCAGCGGCATTGCTGGATCTTGGCCAGGTCCGCCAGCCGCATCAGCTCGCAGGCGCGCAGCACATCCTGGTGACGCAGCCAAGGCGCGAAGGGCGCTTCAGACTGAAATGGGCATGGATCAAAATGAAACCACCAGGAATTGGACCGCAGGTCTTGGTCCATGTTTTCACTTGCCAGGGTCCCATTTTGGGTACCTATTTTTGACCCACAGGCAAGTGGACCCCTATTAATGGTGAGAATACCGTAACGCTGTGTTGAATACCATCCAGAGGACCGCTCCAGTGTGGCCTAGCCTAGGCGGGTCGCTTTCGTGGAAAGCAGTCAGGCGGAAACCTATTGAATCCCGGCTCAGCCAAGCCAATTCAACCAAAACTACTTGTTCCAACAAGAGGACATGGGAAATGTGGTGAGGCCCCTTGGGAATTGAGTGCTTCCAGTCACTAGGCCGCTCCTGGAACGCGCACTCTGGGCCAGAGGTCCGCGAGGTGTAGCCTCAGAGCAGGAAACCTTTCAGCAGCTAGGGCAATGGCTACGAGTCGGCCATGATGGATGCGAGGGGCGACGTGCTGACAAAGTCGGCGAGCTACGTTTGTAGGAGAAAAACCCCGTGTACGTCGCACATTTCTGGTTGGGTCACTTGCTAAACATCAATTCACAAAAACAAGCCGCCCACAGGTTGGAGGCCCTGTCTGTTGCCACATGTTCTGTCGCGGACAGCTTCAATCAAGGCTGCGCATGTTATGCGGAATAACCATCGAACTCTTATTTAAAAAAAAAAAAAAAAAAAAAAAAAAAAAAAAGCTGGCCATGTCATCCATGCCTCGGCGGCCCAACCTGGTTTGCACCTGCTATCCATAGGCGTCCGAAGACTGCAAGCACCGAACAAACCTTAGGAATCTGCTTCAAACAAGTTGGCGGCATCTGAAGCATTGGTGTCACATTGATACAGCCTCCACCACCAAGCTTGGAATCATTGCGATATCACACTTGCATCGTGAGCAGCCGTGAATGAATGCCTCAGGACGCACTCAAAACCCATTTAGTGAACGAGCAATATGAATACACATTGCCATTGTCTCTCCCTCACATGTTCCCCTTGAGAGAGGACCACAAATTAGCGCAGACCACGTACGTCTCTTCCCCATGGCCTGGAAGTCGAGAGGTATCAAGGGACCTTTCACGCAGTTGCATGTCCAGCCAGGTGGCCAGTCAGGAACTGGCGACCTCAGCAAAGCCACATGAGTCTGCTTTTGAGGGGCCATGCTCCGACACACTCCGATAAACGCTAGACTCTAGACATGAAGAGTGCATCAACGTTCACCATTCCAAAGCCTCGATCCGCACAAAGCTAAATTTCTGAGGAATCACGTTGAATCGAAGCGGGTTTGGACAAACAAAATACGAGAGATGCTGGAATCAAAGGTGTGTCTCAAAATGGGAACCCTCTTTTGGTTGGGTTTTTGTTTGAAGCCAAGGGGAACGCTACTTGGAAAGGTCGCCAACTCGGAGACAAACGGTCGCGAACAAGTCTCATCCACAGTCTTCAATCCAAACACGCTGTTTTGCACACATTTCCAGGGAGTGGAGCGGCCCAAAGTGAAGGCAAAGGGCCAAACATGGTTGTTGGGCAAACATGCCGTGTACATTTACAAAAGAAACACGTGCTTTTCCGCGACGCAAACTATCTTCTTGTGGGTATGGATAAAGATGCCTCACACCAGTGGTCTCCCTGACCAGAGGTGAAAGCAAACACGACCATCTCAGTTTGGAGACCCTCTTGAAGGGAGAGAAAGCAGAACCAAGATCTTCAAACAGGCAAAAAGATACAATCGTTGATCCAGGGTGAAACTGCGTCTACCCTCAAGCAAATAGAGGACATGAACACACAAGGCCTGAATATTATTGCGATGCACCCATCCCAAGCAGCTTCAATAGGTTCCAAGTTTGTGTGCCCAACGAGCCGATCACACGCTGCGATCCGAAAGCGCATCTGGGATTGTGCCGAGCAGCGCTTCTCCTCCTCCCAGCACTTCTTAGGATCGGCAATGGCACAGTGCTTCTGATCGAATGTCAAGCCATACCTCAGCAAATCCCATGTGCACACCAATCCAGAGCAAAACGAATCTTGTTCATAGCGGCGCCTGCAGTATCGATGCTGGAAAGTATTTGCTTAAACTGGCAAACCGAGGCGCAGAAATCCGTTGGCCGAGCCCTCAATATCCAGGCGCGTGCACTTCGTGTAGAGGCGGCAAATCCGTTGGCCGTTGTAGTCTCCAAACCAGTAAAACGGCATCTTCTTGTTCAGGGCAACGACTTGGCACTTATCCTCCTGAAGGCTCAAACTCCGCTGCAAAAGGCCCCCTCGACATCGCACGCGTTTGACGTAGAGGGAACTTTGCAAGGCAGAGGGGGTGACAAACATTTGTCACTCGAAGGCGTGTGCAGTGTCACATGCTGATGTCCGCAGCAACAAGCATTTGCCCTTCGCATCTTCGGTCCCCCCTCCAAGTTCTGGTTTCCTCAACCCCCTCAATTCACATGGCCATGGGTCAAAACCCCGTACCCCCAGTGAACATCCCAATCCCCCACTAAAATAGGTTCCAAAATGGGTGGTGCACCTACACCAAAATGGGATCCCATTGGTTTGACAACCACAGCCACATGAACATTTGCGAGAAAAAAAACACACACACACACGCCTGGTGGACCACCACCCAAACCCCGGCTTCCGGGTGCGCCTCTACGAACTCCACGTGCCCCAGGTCTTCGGCGGAGCAGGTGATCCCGCCCTCTGCCAGCAGTTGCGGAGGAGGTGTGAAGCCTCAAATCCCCCGATTTGAGTCCGTGCCGAAGGGCAGGCGTCCGGACTGGAAACGCAAGGACAGCAAGTGTTGGGCGGCAAAAGCCGGGTGTTTCTTACCTCGAAGGGCTGCTCCCCCACGTTTGACGCAGATCCAAACAGCTTGAGGCAAAACCAAAGCACCAGACCCGAGATAAAGAGCCGGGAGCTGGTGATGGTTTGGTAAGTGCGCGCGTTGTTGGCGGGTTGAAGAGCTGTTGCATGCAATGCTGGAACTGCTCACTTGGTGCAGTTCGTGGGCCGGATCTGGCTTGTCAACCCCATCAAAACATACTGGGAATGTGAATGAGCCGGTTTCAAGAGACGCTGGTGACAATGCTCAGCCAGACTTCTGTGCTGCAAGGACCACGGACAGAGAAAGCGTCTTTCAGGATTTGTCCTGCTACTCTGCTAGGCTCTCAAAGTCATTGCGACCTGTCAACAATCGGAGTCAGACATCCTAAACGAAACTGTCTATGAGCCGGCTGTTACTGGCCCCTTCCCAAACAAAAATAAGGACGAATCGAATGGCAAAAGCCAGTGCACTGATCCAAGACCCGTTGGAAGAGACTGGCTGGCTTTCAAGCATTCGAGTCACAGGTTTGGAGGTCAAAGCGCACGGATCCTGTCCGGGCTCACGTCCATCCCTTTGAGCAAAGTGGGATGTTGAACTTGAAAGCCCCGCTCGCCAACTCCTCAATAGACATCCCAAAGCAGTTTTGCTTGTTCCTTGCCAACGGTTGTCATTCCAACTGATTCCCTTTGTAGCCCGACCAAAAGAATCCGGCATAGCCAAGCAACGGTTGTTCGATCCCGGCGGCAACGTCACATCCTGGAAGACTTCATCAAAGACCTGCACTGCTCAAGCAAGCACAAGCTCCCCGTCCACCAAAGCTGCCGGTTTGTCGTTCGCACCCTATCTGTAGCTTGGTGCCAGTTGAGCACTTGTTACTAACAACCAGGCGGGATATACAGGCGCGCGCTTTGTTTCATTTCCTGTTCGCAGACACCCTAAATAAGACTTCAAAAGCAAAAATGAGATCCGGCCCTGTCCCAGCCAAGCATCAAATTGCAAAACTGAAACTAGTGAGGCAATGCACAAAAGCCTGTTCACTCATCAACCAACGTCACTGAGCAATGGTACTACACTTAAAACTTGTGATCGAATGCTATTGGTTGCCTCTTTGTGAGCAGCTAATCCACGCTCGGTTTGTGGGTGTCTGCTACTGATTTGGTGTGCTTGCGTGTTTGTGTCGTTGTGTGCTTGTGTTTTGTGTGTGTGTGTGTTTGTGCGTCTGTGTCGTTGTGTGTGTGTGTGCCTTTGTGTGACTCGTGTGCTTGTGTAGTTGTGCCTTTGTGTGTTTGTGTGTTTGTGTGTTTGTGTGCTTGTGTGCTTTGTGTCCTTGTGTCTTGTCTTTGTGTGGTTGTGCGCTTGTTTGTTTGTGCGTTTGTGCGTCTTTCCGTGCTTGTGTGTCTCTATGCTTGTGCTTGTGTGCTTTTGTGTGTGTGTGTGCTTGTCTTTGTGTTTATTTGTGTGTGTGTTTGTCTTTGTGTGTGTGCTTGTGTGTGTGCGTGTGCATTTGTGTGTGTGCTCTTGTGTGCTTGTTTTTGTGTGCTTGTGTGCTTGTGTGCTTGTGTGATTGTCATTGTGGGTGTATGCCTTTGTGTTTCTGTGTCTTTGTGTGTTTGTGTTTGCTTTTGTGTTTGTGTGTTTGCGTGTTTGTGTGCTTGTGGATGTGTGTCTTTGTGTCTTTGTGTGCGTTGTGTGTTTGTCACTCTGTGTGTTGGTGTGCCTGTGTGCTTGTCTGTTTGTGTAATTGCGTGTTTGTGTGCTTGTGCGTCTTTGTGTGCTTGTGGGCTCGTGTGTTTGTGCGCTGCGTGTGTGTGTGTGTGTTGATTGTTCTGTGTGCTGTGTGTGTGTGTGTGTGTTTGTCTGTGCGCTTCTGCCTTTTTGTGTTTGTGCGCTTCTGTACTTCTGCGCTTGTGTGGGTGTTTGTGTTTTGTGTACTTGTCTGTTTGTGTGTCTATGTGTGTTTGCGTGTTTGTGTGATTGCGTGGTTGTATGTTTGTGTTTGTTTGTCTGGCTGTGTTTGTGTGTTGTGTGTGGGTGTCTCTGTGTGTGTGTCTCTGTGTGTGTGTTTGCGTGTTTGTGTGATTGTGTGTTTGTACGTATGTGTTTGTGTGTCTGTGTGTGTGTGTGTTTGTGTGTGTGTGTGTTTGAGTGTGTATGTGTGTTGTGTGTCGGGGGGGGGGTGTATGTGTGGTTTGTGTGGTGTGTGTGTGTGGGGTGTTTGTGCGTTCGTGCGTGTGTGGTTGTGTTTGTGTGTGTATGTGTGTCTTTGCGCGCTTGTTTTTGTGTCGTTGTGGTTGTGTCTTTGCGTCTGTGTGTTTGTGAGTTTGTGTTTTTGTGTCTTTGCGCGTTTGTGTGTTGGTGTGTGTGTGCTTCTCTCTGTGTGTGTGTGTGCTTGTGTGTTTGTGTCTGCGCGTGTTGGTGTCTTTCTTTTTGTGTGCGCTTGTGTGTTTGTGTGTTTGTGTGCTTGTGTGTTTGTGTCTCTGTGTATTTGTGTGTTTGTGTGTTTGTGTGCTTGTGCGTTTGTGTCTTTGTGCTTGTCTGGTTGTGTGTTTGTGTAGTTCTGCGTCTTTGTGTGTTTGTGTGAGTGCGTGTTTGTGTGTTTGTGTCTTTGTGTGGTTGTGTGTTTGTTGGTTTGTGCATTTCTGAGTTTGTGTGTTTCTGTGCTTCTATGTATGTCTGCGCTTCTGCGTTTGTATGTGTGTTTCTGTGCTTCTATGAATGTCTGTGCTTCTGCGTTTGTGTGTGCGTGTTGGTGTTTTTTCCGTGTGTGTGTGTGTGTGTGTGTGTATGCTGGTGTCTTTGTGTGTGTGTGTGTTTGTGTGCTTGTGTGTTTGTGTTTTCGCGTGTCTGTGTCTGTGTTTCCGTGCGTGTGTGTGTGTGTGTGTGAGTTTGTGCGTTTTTGTGTGTGTGTGCGGTTGTGTGGGTTGTGTGCTTGCTTGCTTGTTTGCATTTTTGGTTTAGTTTGGCTTTGTTTGGCTTTGTTTTGTCTAGTTATGATTTGTTTCTTTGCTTGTTTGGCTGCTTGCTCGTTTTGTTTGTTTGGGGTTGGTTTGGCTCGGTGTGGCTTGGTTTGGCGTGTCTCGGTTCGGTTCGGGTGGGTTTGGTTTGGGTTGGGTTGGTTGCTTGGGTTGGTTGGCTGGTTGGCTGCTTGTTTGGTTGTTTGTTTGTTTGTTTGCTTGATTGATTGCTTGCTTGTTTGATTGTTTGCTTGTTTGCTTGTTTGCTTGCTTGTTTTCCTCTCTTTTTAATTGCGTGTTACCTAGTTTGCTGCTTTTCTTGTTTGCTGGTTTGCTTGATTGTTTGTTTGTTTGGTTGTTTAAGTGTTTCATTGTTTCTGCCCTTCTTTCCTTTGTGTCTTTCTTTCTTTCCTCCTTTAAATATTTCCGTCTTCCTTTCTTTATGCATTTCCTTTTTTCTGTATGTCTTTCTTTATTTCTTTCTTTCGTTATTTCTTTCTTTCTTTCTTTCTTTCTTTCTTTCTTTCTTTCTTTCTTTCTTTCTTTCTTTCTTTCTTTCTTTCTTTCTTTCTTCCATCCATCCATCCATCCATCCTTTTGTGTTCTTTCTTTCTTTCTTTCTTTCTTTATTTCTTTCTTTCTTTCTTTCTTTCTTTCGTTCTTTCTTTGTTGGTTTGTTTGTTGGTTTGTTTGTTGGTTTAGTTTATCCTTTCTTTCTTTCTTTCTTTTATTCTTTCTTTATTTATTTCTTTATTTCTTTCTGTCTGTCTGACTGTCTGTCTGTCTTTCTTTAGTTGTTCCTTATTATTTGTTTTGTCTTTATTTCTTTCTTTCTTTCTTTCTTTCTTTCTTTCTTTCTTTCTTTCTTTCTTTCTTTCTTTCTTTCTTTCTTTCTTTCTCTGTCTGTCTGTCTGTCTGTCTGTCTGTCTGTCTGTCTGTCTGTCTGTCTGTCTGTCTGTCTGTCTGTCTGTCTGTCTGTCTGTCTGTCTGTCTGTCTGTCTGTCTGTCTGTCTGTCTGTCTGTCTGTCTGTCTGTCTGTCTGTCTGTCTGTCTGTCTGTCTGTCTGTCTGTCTGTCTGTCTGTCTGTCTGTCTGTCTGTCTGTCTGTCTGTCTGTCTGTCTGTCTGTCTGTCTGTCTGTCTGTCTGTCTGTCTGTCTGTCTGTCTGTCTGTCTGTCTGTCTGTCTGTCTGTCTGTCTGTCTGTCTGTCTGTCTGTCTGTCTCTCTTTATTTGTTCCTTACTTTTGTTTAGTCCTTTCTTTATTTCTTTCTTTCCTATCTTTCTGTCTTTCTTTCTTTATTTATTTGTTTCTTTCTTTCTGTCCTTGTTGTCTTTCTCTATTTATTTATTGTTGTCTTGTTCCTTTCGTTCTTTCCTTTTTCTTTTTCCTTTTTCATTCTTTGTGTTTGTTTGGTTCCGTGTTTTGTTTGTTTGCTTTCTTGCTTGCTTGCTTGCTTGCTTGTTTGTTTGTTTGTTCAATTGATTGGTTGTTTCTTTGTTTGTTTCTTTGTTTCTTTGTGTTTTGTTTTTTGTTTGTTTGATCGTTTGCTTGTTTGTTTGCTTGTTCGTTTGTTTGTTTGATTGTTTGTTTGATTGCTTGTCTGTCTGTTTGTCGGTTTGTCTGTTTGTTTGTCTGTCTGTCTGTCTGTCCGTCTGTCTGTCTGTCTGTTTGATTGTTTGTTTGTTTGTTTGTTTGTTTGTTTGTGCTTGTTTGTTTGTTTGTGTGTTTGTGTTTGTTTGTTGTTTGTTTGTGTATTTATTTGTTTGTCTTTGCTTGCTTGCGTTTGTCTGGTTGGTTGGTTAGTATGTTGTGTTTGTGAAACTGTGTGGTTGTGTGGTTGTCTGGCTGTGTGGTTGTCTGGCTGTGTGGCTGTGTGTGTGTGTCTGTGTGTCTGTGTGTCTGCGTGTCTGTGTGTGTCTGTGTGTGTCTGTGTGTGTCTGTGTGTCTGCGTGTTTGTGCGCTTGATTTGTTTGTGTATGCGTAGGCGTGTCTGTGGGTGTGTGTGTGTGTGTGCTTTGTTGTGTGTGGTTTTTGTGTTTCTGTGGTTCCGTGGATGTGTGTGTGTGGGTTTTGTTTGCTTGTTTGCTTGCTTGCTTGCTAGCTTGCGTGCGTGCTTGCTTGCTTGCTTGCTTGCTTGCTTGCTTGCTGGCTGGCTGGCTGGCTGGCTGGCTGGCTTGCTTGTTGGCTTGACCGCTCGTTTTCTTGCTTGTGTGCTGCAGCAATCAACCCTGTTCATGCGAAACTGTCTAAGCTGGTGATGTCAGATTGTCTCTCCGAGATTGGCGCCCACTTGCACCAAATTCACAGCAAATCAGCGCTGGGAGGAGTAACGAGCGGGGCAAACGCACGCGCGCTCATGGGGAGAACTTGCTTCGTTCTTTGTGAAAGCCACAAGCGGGTCTCCGTATCCGTTCGGTTTTGACTCACAGGAAAACACCACCCTGACGATAACAACAGGAACCGTCTTCAGAGAGTTGATTCCGCTAGGTATTGCTTGGGCGCTTCCAAGCCAGCCCATTCCCCTTCCGCCAAGCACCTCCTGTGGGCAGTCACAGGGGCCAAGCACATAGTCGTCCTTCCGGCATGCGGACGGCTGTCGGACAGGTTGCCAAACTGGCTTGACATGCTCAACTCGTATCCACATCAACATCCAAAATACATGCTGAGAAGCAGCACAGGGCTCCCATTTCCTTGGCCTTGGATGTCTCCAACAGTGTGCAACAGGGCCATGTTTGCTTTGTACGCTTGCTGGGAATCTTCGGGATTTGTTCGAGTGGCATCAAAAACAAGGTGCCCACCCCCCGCCACCCCACAAAAGTCTCGCTGGTATTACACATCAACATTAGAATGGGGATTGCTTGCTTCAACAGGGTTCAATACTCATTCATGGAGCTGCCAACAAGCTGTCGGCCGTGAAATCCCTATCTCTTGGAATATGTCTCTCCCAAGGGAGCTTGTGAGTAAAACTCCCCTGGCCTTCATCTTCGTGGACATATCATCGAAGCGAAAGACCTGCTCTGCCTGCAGAGGATCCGCCAGCTCGTCCTGACCGCGGACTGTCCCGGGGATCTCGGCACCAGGAGTGAGCCAGGAGAACCAAACTCAAGACTCGCCAGCGCGATTAGGCCCAAGGCCTTTCGCTCACGGCCCCCAACTCGGGTCCTTGATGTTGTGCTCATTGAGGAGCTCCGCACCTTGGCCGGAGGTGCAATGCTGGCACGCTACCTGCAAGCACCAGGCAGAATGCAAGCTTACGAGAACGCCGCAGAGCAAGTCGGCATCTTACCTTTGTCAAAACAAGGAACAGCAGTTGGTTTGGGCGTGCGCGCACCGGTGCACCCCAAAAAGCCCAAGAACGATGTGGGGGCAGGTCACCTGAACCCGTGTAAAAAGTCACCCGCTGTCAAAGCCATGTCGCGCACAATGTACATTTGGCTGTGCCAGAGACTAAAGCAGGAGATGTTTCGAAAGGAGCACAAATAAAACCAAGAAACAGAGAAACTCCTGCCTTTGACACATGCCCGCGTGTCCGCTCTGTTGTCAGGCCGTAGCTGGAAGGCGCACGAAAGTGCGTGCTGCCTTCGTGCTATGAAATTGGACTCTTCCCAGCCGCAGCAAGTTAGAAAACCGTGCTCGGCGCGGAGCTTTCACGCTGCACGACTGGAGCTTGGAAAGCCGACTTTGCTACTGCACTTGTCCTACAACTGTTAAATAAGTTCTTAGGCTGGGGCTAGGAAAGCACACTTTTGCATGCACGCTACAGATATCCAAAGTCGCAATCCGCACTGCCTGGATGCTGGACCAACATGACTCAGAAGACGCAAACAAAGGGCGCAGTGTCGTAAAGCGTGCCGCCTGACTCGCCATCAGAATCTGGATTTAGAGTATCACCTCTTGCAAGTATCGACCCAGCGAAACGCCAAAGGGGCTGACATCGTTGTTACGAAAGCCGGGCACGTCCAAGTGCAACTTCTGTTTGCACACCGACCCCAATTGCCTGGCCAAGGCGCGCTCGTAGAGAGGATTCCTGCACGTCTGCACCTTGATGTCCACGGTGGAGTTCAGCGACCCTTCGCCATCCTTCAAGTCCACCTTCACGTTCTCTGACGCGTCTGTGGCCACGGACAGGCTCACTTCCGTGTCGCCTGTGGCCAAAAATGAGAGTCATTGAAACCACGGGTCAGTGCATTGAAGGTGTTAGCGCGCGCGATATTGAAGAACCCTCCTTTGATAGTGCCAAGCTAGAAAGGGGTGGATGTCCTCTGGTTGCCCTTTGAAACAAGCCCAAAACAACCATCGAAAAAGACACTCCCATGTCAATTTCTGGCAGAGAAAGCTGTTCGCAACTCCGCAACCAGCCGTGCCTCTCGAGACGACATCAATGAGATCCGTGTCAATGCACAACAGCACCTGCGCAATGCATCATTCGGGTGTCCCCAATATGTTGGTGTCCTGCTGGTTTTCCCTTCGCACCCTCCGAGAGTCCCTGAGCCTTTGTCTTGGATCCCCAATGTGCTTTCTTTGGCACGCATGTGACGTGCTTTGGCCACTTGCTAGGGACCCTCCAATGAATTGGCTCCATGTTGGCTTCTCATATTCCACTGGAGTGGCTCCCCTGAAGCAAGCAGGAATACACAACCACCTGCCACAAAGTCTCAAGAACGCCTCTTTCTTCAGCCCACCAAGTCTTTTTCTTTGAGGGTGCCCAATTTTTCACCTGTTGGGTGGTTGGCCGGCGTTTCTGTGGGCGGAAAACCAACCAGCACCAGCGAGGGTCACGGCCCCGTCCCATCTCTCGCCTTGCCCCGGAGCTCCACCAGGCCCACGGCTTCCTTCGTGGGCTCCTGTCCCGAGTCGAGTCCCCGGGTGTCTGCCATATGGCCATGGGTCAAAACCCAAATCGGTGATCCACAACCCAGTGAACATCCGATCCAATCCAACCACTAAAGTAGCTTCAAAAAGGGTCGAGATTTAATTTGAGTTTTTTTTTTTTGGGGGGGGGGATTTTTTTTTGTTTTCCGTCCTGGCTACTAAAATGCTGTAATTTACAGCATTTTCTCGCGAAATGTACGTATTTTACGCTAGTCCGTCAACATCATCAGCATCGTTTTCAACATCCCCCGCATGTCCAGCCAACATCCCCAGCATCACCAGCAAATTGGCTTCCCGCATCTCATGGTAAAAGTGAGGATTCAAATACGGGCAAACTAATCCCTGTAAAACACCTAAAACATGATGATTGAAAAAGTGACGACGGCAGCCCCCCCCATGATGATTGAAAAAGTCTAAAAAATTGCGGGGGGGTTGGGGGCGGCGGCAGCCCCCCCCATGATGATCGAAAAATTAAGGGCAAAGAATCTAAAAAGGATCGGTCGCATGATGATCGAAAAAGTGATGATTCAATTCGGGGCAAAAAGTCCAACAAATAGCGGGGGGGTTGGGGGGGGCGGCAGCCCCCCCATGATGATTGAAGAAGTGATGATTCAAAAAGGGCCAACAAATATATTTAAAAAAAAAGCAGCCGGGGGTCATCAGTTCCTCTGCGGCAAGGCCTCATGGTACAAGTGAGGATTCAAACACGGGCAAACTAATCCCTGTAAAACACCTAAAACGTAGCGGGGGGGGGCGGCAATTCCCCTCCATGATGATTGAGTGATGATTCAATTAAAGGCGCGGGGGGGTTGGGGGGGGCGGCAGCCCCCCCCATGATGATCGAAAAAGTGATGATTCAATCAGGGGCAAAAAGTCTAAAAAAATTGCGGGGATCGAAAAATTAAGGGCAAAGAATCTAAAAAGGAGCGGTCGCATGATGATCGAAAAAGTGATGATTCAATTAGGGGCAAAAAGTCCAACAAATAGCGGGGGGGTTGGGGGGGGCGGCAGCCCCCCCATGATGATTGAAGAAGTGATGATTCAAAAGGGCCAACAAAAAAAAAAAAGCAGCCGGGGGTCATCAGTTCCTCTGCGGCAAGGCCTCATGGTACAAGTGAGGATTCAAATACGGGCAAACTAATCCCTGTAAAACAAGGGGGGCGGCAATTCCCTCCATGATGATTGAACAAGTGATGATTCAATTAAAGGCGCGGGGGGTTGGGGGGGGCCAGCCCCCCCCTGATGATCGAAAAAGTGATGATTCAATCAGGGGCAAAAAGTCTAAAAAATTGCGGGGGGGTTGGGGGGGGCGGCAGCCCCCCCCATGATGATCGAAAAATTAGGGGCAAATAATCTAAAAAGTAGCTGTCGCATGATGATCGAAAAAGTGATGATTCAATTAGGCGTCAAAAAGCCACCTGCCGCAGCGGAACTGGCAATGCAGAGGATGCGAAAAGAGAGGAACTGTGAATGCAGATGATGCGAAATGAAAAGCCACAAAAGCCACAAAAACCCACGTAAAAGCCACAAAAGCCAAAAAGCCGAAAAGCCACCGACCCTGAAAAACCAAAATAATTCCTAAAAAAAACGAAAAAAAATCCTAAAAAAAATGGCCCTCCCTTCTAAAATGGGGTGGTGAATTCACCTACCAACCAAAATGGGATCCCATTGGCTTTGAACCATGGCCACATGAATTTTGTGCAACACTCCAAATAAACAAATAATAGACAGCTCACTTGGTTTGTCAGCTCACTTGAGTCACAATCACAACCCGGAATGATCTACCCAAACCAATGTAAAGAATTGAAGAGGCGGCCGCACCTTATTCCTAATTCTGGCTGGGAGTGTCCCTTACTACCCTCCAATTGCTCGGGTTTTAATTGTGACTCAAATCATGATCGTACGATGATTGATCTGCATGCAACGGAACTGGCGATAAGGTGATCTGAGACAGGCTCCGCCATAATCCATGCTTGATGTAGCTTCTTTTGGACAGAGGAACGTCTACAAACCTACGCTCGTAGCGAAAGAGGACATGGCATAGATTTCAAGGCAACGGCTCTTGGCCATGGTTGGCACAACCCAGGCACAAAGAATGCACTCAATGCCTCCAATAACTTTATTTCCCAGCACTGAAACTTTGAAGACGCGGCCGTGTGTATGAGTATGTTTGCTGGGCCCTGTCCGACCTCTCCGTTGGCATGTGGATGCGTTCCTGGATTGGTGTGCTGCCTTATGGGGGTTCAGCTTGTTGACATGTATGCGGCATGCATGTCAAGCTTGGGAATCCGCATTGTATCTGCTCGCCTTCTGCCGGAAACCAGGAGCAAGGGCTGTTGCTTCACATAGGCCTCTGCAATCGGCCGCAGGAGCCCCTGTTTTTAAGGGCGGGGCTTTTCTGAGGTCCCACTAAAACTAGTAGAAATAGTAGAAATGTATCCAAGCCCCGACATTGAGGGAAGCCATTCCCCCAAGTCGTGTGAAGTGTTGTTGGATTTAGCAGTGTTGCTGGATTCTTTATCTGAGCGGAGCTTTCGTTCATGTTGAGTCATCCAAAGCAGTGATCCTTGCATGACCCAAGCTCGGGCCTGTACAATGTCCTCTGAAGAGAAGCGGCGCAGCAGCCACTTGGCATCAGGGCAGGCAGCGGCCTGCGCCGCAGGCTGCATTTTTCACTCGGAGCAAGTCAGAATACATGGTTGCTGCCCCTGGCTGTGGAATTACTTGAGAAGGAAGGGCTCTGTTGCACCTTCAATGCCCAACATGATGCGGAATAATTAGATCTGCATTCCTTAGATAACAAGCAAGAAAGGCGAAAGGTTGGCTTCCAATCCTCCTTGATTCCCGCAGGCGAGAGCTCGCCGTTTAAGCTCCAACTTGCACCCAGAGGCGACAGTCGCGAAGCCGCTTGGATCCCCCCTGCACTGGCGCGGCCAAGGGGCTGCTTCCACTTCGCGGTCCTTTTGCACTTTCTGGACATAGAAGCTGGCCTGGAGATCTCAGATTGCCAGGCAAAACTGCCTGGGGGTTGCGACCAAAAGCTTTTGGTCGCCATTTAGTCAAGCCCTCGTCCCCTGCCAGCTCTCACAAAATTGCCTGAACGTTTGAGGGAACGGAATCTGAGCATGGCGAATCTATGGTCATGGCAAAGTGTTTTGTTGAGCGCGCTGAAAGGGTCAAAACCCAGGCAGCAAATACCAGCCACAGAGCATGGCTAACAACCAAGCTCAGCAAGGTTCAACGAATTTGCAGAACTCCGTAATTAGACCCTATTAATCAACCAGGGGCTTGTTCATCCGGGGTTCCCATCAATCCTGCGCTTCCAATACATGCCAAACGGAACAGGTCTTTCGGCACCTCTCGGCTGGGGCCCTCCAGCTGGTAGAGAGGAAAGCCACGGTCCCGCACACTCTTGGGACAGTACTGCCCTGGCGACACGGTGGCGCGACACGGTGCCGCGCAAGGAAGCTGGGAGCAAGCGGGACGCATTCGCTCGAGTCCCCAGGAAGAGAACGTTTGCACGTCACGGCTGGGGAAAGCCGCCAAAGGCGCAAGCGATCTGTGCCCAACTGTTTGCTCTGCTCTTCTCGCGGCAACAAAAGTCGAGTTCTTGCACGGAGGTCTTCGTTTAGCTGGCAAAAAGATAATGCAAGTCCGATCAAACCCATCATGGTGGGATAGGTTTTCCGCCAAATTAGCTCCTGAGCCAAGTGAGAACAGGTGGGACCCACAATGATTGAAAAATGTTAAGCCTTGTCAAACAGGCAGATTTGACGAACACGTGCAAATACTGGTCTGAAGGCATCGTTGGCCACGGTCAGAATGCATGTGTTGTTCTTGGTTTGCGAATCTTTGGTCCCCCATCCCTTCCAAATTCACCATCCAAAGTCGACATTGCAACTGCAAGTCTCTCGCGAAACAGGCTCCGGACGTCACTCGCCTGAGAGGTAAGCTGCGCCCGGCACGTTGAGGTGGATGCACCGCGACAGCAGACTGCAGTTCCGGACCTTCAAGAAGACCTGTCGAGGGCTTCCATGGTCTGGCTCGTCAAATAGGCATTGGGCCCTGTATGGGGTGGTTCTCCCTTTTTGCCCTCAAGCAAGATCTGAAAAGGGTACCCTCCAAAAAACACGCACGCCCATGGGTGACGCCTTCAAGGACCCAGAGGTCCTTTCTTGGAATGCAGCATCTAAGTGCAAATCCTTTTCGGGGTCAAATGAGGCCAAATCATCTGCTGATTTGTCGGGAGGAAAAAGAGTGGAAGCGGGTGGCCTCAAAGGAGCATGTGCCCGACTGCTTGCAGGAAGCCATAGTGGGAAAAGCAGCTCGATCCCCACTGAAGCAATCGCATCTGCATGTCTGCAATACTGAGCCGAAAGATAGTACACAAATGGATTCCCAGGCTTCTTTGATGCACTACCCATGAGTCCAGCTTCTTTTTTTTGGACACCCCAGATGCCGCCTTACGTCGCTCCCGGCCTGTGTCTCAGTTGGCAGCCTGACCTGGCGGACCCACGGGAGGCTTGGGACCATCCAAAGAAAATGACAAGAGCCCCCTAGCGCAAAAGCACATGGCCAACATGCCAGAGATAGAAGCAATGGGTGAATCACTTTGATTACGCCCACTCGGACATGACCCCATTTAGTCATATGTCCAGGATAAAATCATGTTAATTGTTTTGGACCGTGTTGGGCCATTTCCCAAGGGTGTATACAACAACCCTTAGATTGAAACTGCTTTCTCGCCGCGGCCACACAACCATCTGAAACCCTGCTTTGATATTCGAGCGAAATCTGCAACTGTGACGTTCTCCGACCAGAATGACGGTTGCGAAAAATGTATCCGGACCGTTTAGCAGGATCATGTAGCGTCGTTTTAAAAGGGCGGCGGGATCCGCACTCATTGTGGCCGCCCCCTTGCCATTCATGAAGCGCAATGCGGCGGGCTCTCTTAGCATGCAATATTGGCTCTTGACTCCTTTGTAAGCCACCTTCAAGAACGAGTTTAAAAGGGGAACCGACCTTTTTAGCGATCCTTAATTTTGCCGCATATCTGAGTTCGCTCTTCAAATACAGCTGTCAACGCTGTTGTCGATGAACCTCAGGCTGCGCACAACAGCAAACATGTCAGCCTCCTGGCAACAAATCGAATGTGTGTGTGTGTGCTGGTGGTGCTTGCTTCGCGAGCGTGTCCTTTTGCATCCGAATCTCCACAAGAAGCCCTGTTTTCACCTAACTGCCTTTACCGGGTGTTGGAATTGCAGACCCAGCGACCCCTGAATACGCTGCAACGAATCAGGCATGCCGCGCCAAGCGTCCAGAACATTTTGCCTGGATTCAAGCTCATGCGATATTTGTCCAGAGAATCCAGGGCACAGAATCCAACCTTTGGACTTTTGGAACACAGGATTTGCAATGTGGTCCTGTGCTGACCACAATTCAGTACTGTATCCACCCATCACCTTTGAGACAGTTCCCTCTTAAAAGTCGATTCATGGCAAATTGGCATATCTCGGCTGCCAAATGATTGATCTCCCTACTGCGTGCGAGCAAGGTCAAAGTGCTGTCACTCCAGATCCAAACAAAAAGCAGTCTGCAAACTCTGCCATGCCTTCGCGTGGTCTTACTCAATTTTGGCCCCCCCCCCCTCCCCACCCAATCCGTGCCTGAGGACGCGTGCCCGGCTTGTTGCGCCGAAGGAACAAGCAGCGGTCCGCCGCAAAGCCAAAGGCGGCACAGGAACCAGTTTCCCGGCAGCGGAGACGGCACCTCTGCTCCCGAAACCGGCAGGATGTTCTGCATCTGATTCCATGGCCTCCACTCGCTGCCTTTGTGAACGCCCATTCTCTGAGCTGCTTCGAGCACCTGTATAGAACAAGGAAGCTGAGACCTGGAAACGATCCAATCTCGTGTTCAACGACAAGGCCGGCGTCCATCGAAAGTGTGACCAAAACCCAATGCTTCCTGTTGCCGCAAAGCATATGCATATAAGTAGGCACGACCTATGTTAGCAACCCACGGCAACGACGGGGCTGGCAAGTTGGCAGTCCATGATCGGGGGACATTGATGACATTTGGACAGCCATGCCGCTGATCTTCGTTCATCGGCGAAGCGACGACGGGACTGAAGGCCTTGCCGGGAAACCAAACACTGAGATCAGCCTAGGAAATCAAGCTCAAGGCTGTTTTCGGGTGACCCAAATACACGGCTGCAAGACAAGATTCCTTTTGGTGTTGGAGGGGGTACCTGCCATCTTTGGCAGGCCCCCTATTTTGGGGAATGCTCAAATTAAAATCACATCGAGAGTTATGCCGCGGCCCCATTCTGCAATCAATAGATGCATCGATACCTTTATGAAAGCTTTGGATCGATCAGCAACTACTTGAAAGAACGCCGCTGCTGGGAAACCTGGTGCGAGCTTGCAATTGGCTGAGTGCAATGTCAAAGGCCGCCCCGATTCTATGTAACTGCAACAACCCCAAATGACAGGGGAATCTTGAGTCTCGGAGAAGCCCCCAACCCCTCTGTTTTGGTCCACGTGCAACTACATGTTCTGCCAACACACTCGCTGCTAGCTTTCCACGAAGCAGGAATCACGGTAGAGTCTTGCTTGTTGCGCACTGCAAATCAAGGCCGCATGGGAGCGTACATGTATGTTAGAATTCAGCATTTACGGAGCACTACAAAGCAACAGAGGTCACTCAGCTGATACGCATTATAGCAGCATCAAAACAACTGACACGTGTCATCGCGCCTCCTGGTAGTGCTTGGCATCACCTGGCACCATGTCTTTTATCCCTCCTACCTTCCAGCGTTACTCGTGCCCCGGGATCGTTTTCTCTCCATCTGGATAGCCAAAGAAATGAAGCAATGCTCACATCAGCCGCTGGTCCAAGGGAGCATGCGCAGCCTTGGCTTTCCTGTGAAGCCCAGGGCCACATAGGCTGGCCCTATCCCAGGCGACAGATCCGAAAAAGCGTCCCCGCCTTTGGCCCAGCACGTGTTGTCCCAAACGGTGATGCGAAAGCTGGTCATCACCAAAGTCTTGGACTCTGGCAGCGAGCCGTAGGCCTCGTTGCACGCTCTCGAAAGGGGCCAAATGCATCTAGAACTGCCTTCCGATGCATCCACCAATCGCATTGGGGCGGTAAAGGGTCTTTGGTTCACTGCGGAGTCTTCCCGTTTGGCAACTGGATGAAACTAACATGTCCCGTGACTTACCTCCTGATTTGACAAGGATCTCATGAATCTGACAGTGATAGAAATCACTTTTCGCGCTTCCTTGGTTACCTCCTAGACCCGGATAGTCCCTGAAGGCTTAGGCTTCAAGGCCACTCGCTTCGGTCCCGAGTCCCACGCATAGCACTTGAACTGCTTCCTGCACCGACCGGTGCCCTCGTCGCAGCTGCGCAGAAGTCCGGGGCTGGGCTGCGAGAGGAGCTGGCCCTTCACCACCCGGAAGATCTGCACGCGGCTCCAAAATTTCTGGAGGCGTGAGTCGTGAGGCCCTGAAAAAGGGCGCTAAAAGAATCTGCCGTGAGGTGAAAGGGACTCCTCTCTGGGGTTCCTTCTGCTAACTTGCTGGGGAGTGGCGAGTTCCTTGGGCAAGAACTCAAACAGCATGTCAATCATGAGCGAGCCTCTCAACACACTGGCAAGGCACATCATTTCGGGCAAAAGGTAAAACGGCTCAGACCCAGCGAGGGCAAGAAATGCAACGTATCATAGTTTTCCCCGATAAAGGTAAAGAAGATAGCTGTAGGATCTGCATTTTGGCGCTGAGCAACATAGGAAAAGCACTCCAACTCACCTGGCTACAGCCAGATAGACCTTCTGGTACCAAGTTCCACGGGGTGACCTATCGAAACCGCCTGAGAAGTTCCTGTCGACACAGTGCCCAGTCAGGGTTCTCTCTGGTTGAGGGTTCCCCTTGTTGGGGCTTGCAAGGGAAACTCAGGAAGACGAGGGTTTCATATGGCTGTGGCTCAACAACAAAGAGCTAGGTCCACTTGCCAGGTGCCATGTTGGGTACCCATATCCCACACCAGACGGACTGTTTTGGCCACTCAGTTTGCCTCGTGACCATGGTAGAGCACCGCGTCTGTCGTCTCATCATGCGCCTGCCAGGCATTGTCCCAGAGCCAGCATTTGGTCTTTCTGCGAATGGTGAGGGGGGCTCACATGGTGGTCTCTCCTTGGTTTCCCTTTGAAAGAGCCTCAAACAAGGGGTATCCGGGTGAAGGACACTGCCTCGATTCAGGCCACAAACAACCCGCGTCAGCACTGCATGAAATCACATGTTAGCCCCACGTGAGACATGCGATCCCTCTCCGCTTGTCTAAAAACCCTTCTGCCCTTGGAAGACAAAGCTTCGGGACATGTATCACATGAAAAGATCTGCTGCCAAGTGCGAGCCCTGCGGTTCCACGCCTCCAAAGCCAAGTCGCAAGCTCTGTACAGCGCAACCCCACAGATGGAGAATCAGACTACAACGCCAAGAGAAAAGATGAGTACAGTGAAGAACCAGCCATTCAGCTTTTTCTGATAGGTGCCACAGCCCGCATGCAGGGTGCTTCCTGGAAAAGGTGGCCCCCTAAAACTGGCAAGGGGGTCCTTTTGCTTTGCCTTTTGCCATCAACCCCAAAGGGGAATCCTTGAAGGAGAAACGCCATCCTTTATCCAAGGCACGGTGTTCTCTCCACAGTCGAAGTGGAAGGCAGTTGGGTAGTCCTCCAGCAGCCGAAATGAGCCGCAGAAGCAGGGGACCGCAAAGACGGTCGACTTTCAACAATACTAGGCTAGAATTAGGACCCCGGCAAAAAAAAATATTTTTTGCCTGGTTAGTGGAAAACTAAGGGACCCCAAAAAAAGCAACAAAACAAAAAGGGGAGCTAATTCTGGGGAAGAATATTCGGCAACACCCACATGCACCTTGTTTTGCTTCAATGAACCGTCGCATGTGCCTTGCTTTGGCTGGCCTCAAACCCAGCATTTCCTGGAAGTAAAACAATATAACAAGTGGGTCGCTGATTCCATGCAGGGCCAAGCTCTCGCCCGCTGTAAGTGGCAGGCAATGAGGCCCAATGAGTCATTCGGACGCAGCATGTGTGTGTGTGTGTGTGTGTGTCTTGAAAGAGGGCCAGTTTTGAGAGCTCCTTGTTTTTCACACCAGCAGAACAAGCATTTGTGCGAGCGGTTTGCTTTTGTATCAGAACCAAGGCGATGCTGTTCTGGTGAATGTTCAGCCATCTCTGTCGACTGTGTTTTAATCTGAACCCGACGTTTTTTCCAGTCTCCAAGAAAATCAACAACTGGAGAAGACGTCTGTGCTTATATTGCGACCGCATGTGCCCTGGGAGTCACGCTGGACTTCCTCAACCTCCCTCCGCAAATGGACCGCCAGGAGCCCAACAACTTTGACAGCCACAGCTTTGAGCACCAAGTCAGCCGCTGACTTAGTCATGCGAGCGCTATTAGGGTGCGCCTTTGGCTTTGACTTACTCACTCACTTGGTTGCGGTGTGTCCGCATTTTTCCTTTTCTTGGCGACCCTTTGCCAACTAGGAGTGCAGCTTGTGAAGCATCGGCATGTTTTCACTGTTTTGCTAGGCCTAAAAGCCGGGATATCAGGAGGTCGAGCAGGGTTGACCACTGGTTGTCACGAGAACTCTCACAAACTCACCAAATGTCGGATGAAAATCAGCCGGTGCAATGATCATATGCTGGCAAGCTAAGAATATATCACAAGAATGATCGGTCGCCCTGTTGCCGGTGCCGGCCCACCCACTTTCCACCCCAACCCTGTCCATTTTTGCACTAGGTCCGTTCGGCCTTCAGCGTGGCAACATCCCCAGCATCACCAGCATCACTTGGACCCGGGGTTGCCTGTTTGTTGAGAGGAAACAGACCCCAGGTCCAAGTAATGCTGGTGATGCTGGGGATGTTGCCATGCTGAAGGCCAAACGGACCCAGTTAAAAAAAAAAAAAACACCACTACCAGGAGGAGGTAGTGTCAACCAACCAACCAACCAACCAACCAACCAACCAACCAACCAACCAACCAACCAACCAACCAACCAACCAACCAACCAACCAACCAACCAACCAACCAACCAACCAACCAACCAACCCACCCACCCACCCACCACCCACCCACCCACCCACCCACCCACCCACCCACCCACCCACCCACCCACCCCACCCCCCCCACCCCCAACCCCAACCCCCACCCACCCACCCACCCACCCACCCACCCACCCACCCACCCACCCACCCCACCCACCCCACCCCACCCACCCCACCCACCCCACCCCACCCACCCACCCCCCCACCCCACCCCACCCCACCCACCCCACCCCACCCACCCCACCCACCCCACCCACCCCACCCACCCCACCCACCCCACCCACCCACCCACCCACCCCACCCACCCACCCACCCACCCACCCACCCACCCACCCACCCACCCACCCACCCACCCACCCACACCCACCCACCCACCCACCCACCCCCACCCACCCCCACCCACTAACCCACCAACCCACCAGACCTAATCAAAACACAGACCTAGAAGAAATTTCATACCTCCACCCACCCACCCACCCACCCCAAAACAAAACGAGAAAAAATGGAACCCAAGAAAGTATGAAACCCAACAAAGCATCCAAATGTTGAGTCACCTTCAGAGGACGCCTCTTTAGGGCTCTTTCCAGGGCCTCCCTCCAAAAAAGGGCGGCTGCAGGCGCCGAGCGTCCGAGGCGTCACTCTGGTGCTTGTCCAGGGAGGTGACCAACTTGTATTCTGGCACCTCCGCTAGCTCGAAACCGGGTGTGTCTTATGGGTAGCCCGGATGTCCAACTCCAAAACCTAGAGGCTGTCTACACAAACAGCAAAAGAATAAGACGGCGTGCAAACATACAAAGGGCGAGTGACTGGAATGAAACCGCTTGATCTTGCCTAGGAGCAAATCCTCCAGGAGCAAGGCTCCATGTTGGCCCTTGAAACATGTCCAGAAAGAACAACGACCCCGGCAAACGCCTGGCTTACAGTAGATCTCCCCGCAACTTCCCAGATGTAGAACCTCCATGTAGCACGCCACTCAAGACTGGCGGGTCAATGTCGGCTCACAGTGAACTTTCTGGTTGAGGAAGGGTCCCCAAAATGACTTCTGCACAAAGCGACCTTGTCTTGAGAGTGTCACTTCCACCCGCCCACCTGACGCCGGACAGGGACTCACCAGACTCACAAAAAAATCCGATCCGATCCGGTCGGCATCCGCCTCCTCACTGACCACCACCGGGAAGGAGGTGAGGGCCACGTCGGGGTTGTCCGAATGCACCAGAAACCTCGAGTCGCTAGCCAGCGACGGCGTGTTGTCAATGGGGGGGCTTCGAAAAAAATCAGAACCCTCGTAGTTGGATGGCTTTATTCAAGAAAACCAAACCTTTTGGGGAAGCAAGTCCAACACCTGGCTGTGACCATTGCTGCTGGGGAAAAAATGATGATGCTACTGAAGGACGATGCTTGACGTTTCTGCTTTACTGGCAACGCTCACCAGTTTGGCACTCGATCATCATGATGACACAGGAATGAAAATGCCGCGTGCCCGCCTGAGCCCATGAATGCTCCCATGGCCAGTGGAAAAGGTGCGTGGCTTGCACCGAAAAGGCTAGTGCTTTGCAGCGTGGATGATTGGCAAACGGTTCCGCAGGCAAGCTGGGATAGCATTGCCTTGTGAATACAAGCAGGTTCCCACTAAATGACCTGATGAAAAGACCAGTGCTGATGGTTAAGCTGAACAACCTACACGTTTTTCCAAAAACTCTGGTTGATTACTGCAAGTAAACCAAGCACCAAGGATGGCAAAGCAATGATTCTCTCTGTTCCGTACTTGCAATATGACAACACCATGGTGAACCACCAACCAATGGATCGTCCGCTAGACAGTGTCCCAAAACTGGGAATCCCTTTCGGAAACCGAAAACAACACTCCGGACCGTTTGCCGCGCCAGTGATGTGGTTTTCAGAAGTGCCATCCGTCTATGACATCAGGTGCACCACCTCTGAACTTGTCACACAAGTCTCGCGATATTAATTGTTTGCTCTCCTTTTGAACAAAATGTTTGTCAGGCCCAGGCGACTTGTATCTTCACATCACTTACCAACGAAGGCGATACAATGGCAGCGACTCCGCATGCCGCAGAGTGGGACCCTGCAGTGTGTTGTCCGCGTATGTTCTCGTGCCTGGGTGCTTGGCCTCGTGACCTGTGCGCCCAGCCCTACCCGTGTCGGTATGCACGCTGGAGAGCTTCTGCATGAATTCGGCCGCTGGCAAACATGAGCCCTCGTCAGTGTCAGGGCTCCAAACCCTATTCTAGGACACCCTGAATACATTGAACGCCGTAAATCCCGCCTTGTCAAACGATTTCCCCGCTGCGTACTCCCTTGCAAAAATTGAAACACACAGAACCCCCCCCTCGGTCAGCTGAGGTTCAGGGTGTTCTGCTCATAGGGCACCTCCATGGTCAGCTCACTGCTGCGGATCTCATCATTACCTACGGGGATCGAAGGAGTCGTACCGGCCGGGAGATCCGATGCAAAAGAAAGTGGCGGGGGAGCTTTGCTTTGGCTTGAGATGGGTGGTCAAAAGTGCTTTCGAAACCTACTCCCCCCCCCTCGTTTCTTCAAATACATTCTTGTAGGATGCTTGTCAAAATCAAAGCTCCTGTTGTGCTGCCTTTAAAGGACCCCAGAAGACGCACGTGTTCGGAGCGACCGGGCTGCTGTTCAAGGTGATGGAGTGAAGGCAGTGGCATTGGGTGGCCTAGACTTTGGAAAGGAACACCGAACTTGCCGATTGTCTGATTGCCTGCTTCTGCTTCTGAGTTCCGCCCTTCTCTTTTTGCGGAAGACTCAAAGCTTCGAAATGGCCCAAGCAAAGAATGCAAATGGCCCATCTCAAGCAATGATCTCTCTCAGGCACTCGCTCGACTGAGCTTCAGTTCCCTCCAACTTGGATTCAACTTTCGAATTCGCCTCTGAACCATTTCAAGTTGTCTTCCCAGGAGTCCAACTAAGCGGTTTCAGCCAGGGCAGTGTTCTTCCATCCAAAACCTCTTGGCTTTGGATTACAAGATAGCTGTTTTACTAAACCCATTCGATCTGACCGCTACAGGAGTTAACCATTTGATCTTTCACTACTGCATGCATGATTATATCCTGCTGTCTGTTTGGGCTTCACGATATGAACCAAACAGGCATAGTCGTTACCAGGTTCCTCTTTTGAACAAGGTGGAAGCACCCTTTGCTACATTGGCATTGGCGTTGCTCCCATTCCTAGCATTCTGCTTGACGCAAATAACCCAACTGGGAGTTTCTCAAAGTGGCGGACACCGTTTTGTTGGCACTTCAAGGCAAACCAAAGAGAAACCAGGAAACCAACCATTGCATATAGGAGGACCACTATTCTGGTTTGTGGATTCAAAGGGAAACCAAAAGAAATGCAAAAAGACGAGCCCCCAGATTTGAGAAACACCCCATCAGCCCCTTGGGGGGCGCCTCCCCCTTGATCACCCAACTCGGCACTCGTCCCCCTTGCCATCCGAGAGGCAGCCGCGCGGCACTGGCCGCCGCCACGTCTTGTCCGGCCGCTGCCGGTAGTCGCAGCAGGCGCACGCGGACGGCCTCGTTGGGCCAAGCTCTCGAGGACGCTTGGAGAGGGAGTGAGAACAAAATACCAAAGGCCGACATAACACGAACGCAAAGGCAAAGGAGACAAACAACAAACAAAGTCACAAGACCTGGTCTTGATAAACCAGGGAGAGGATAGAATAGGCGCTGCCAGAATAAAAAAATCTCTCTGGCTCACAGTCCAACTCTTCAGCAAAAGATCTAGTTGCAGCGGGTGAATGGATACCTTCCATTGAAAGGTCTGTAGTTGAAGCTGGAGACCGACACCGCTTCAACCTCCCCCCGCATCCTGAGGGTCCGGGTCTGTGCAAATGGAGCCCAGCTGCAGCTGGGTTCAAAACTTGCGCGATGTGCACGATTCTTTGTGTAGGTTGTGGTCATGGCACCGTTCCAAGGAACCCTTGCCATGCCTTTCAGCATTCCTTATGGCGCCGATCCGCCGATCCGTCCCCAAGCTTTCTCACCCTCCAAGTTGTACCCCCAAGGTGTTCTATGGGAAGCCTGTTCCAAGGTGGAAAGTGCCTCAAAATCTGTGCCCCTTGCCCGACAACCGAAACTGGAATCTGCTGCTTGGCGTCTTGATTGGCTTGGAGTTCCTGAAGCAATACCAGCACCTGTCGTTGCTGTCTTTGGGCACCGGATCATTCCAGCACTCGTCACACCAGCACTTCTCTTCGCAGAGTTCAGGCGCTTTGCTGTGGTCGCAGGTATCTCAGCCGGCTCGAAGCTCTTTGGCCAAGACCCAAACGAAGCAAAGGCTTGCGTTGAACATGGCCAGGCTCGGAAACGGTCGAGGTGACTGGTCAACATGCGACCAAGACTTCAGGAAATTCGGCCAAGAAGCCCTTCTCAAAAGAAAGCCCCAATAAGTTCATGCAAAGATGAATATTACACTTCTGCAGAGCCGCACGAAGAGTCAGTGCGCCCTAGTAAACACATCCGATAAATCATTTGAGCGCCCTGATGTCGATTCTAAAACACCCAAGTGACTTGGAGGCGTGAGCAAAGGATTCGCGGCTTGGGCGGGTGCGCGGCCCAGATCTGAAAGCTGTTGTCAAGTTACCATCACAGAGCAAGTGTGTTGCTTCCTTCGTGCATGTCGCGTCATCCTGCCAAGTATATGTGTGCATGTGTGCGTGGATATGTTGTAAATAAAGTAAGTCCTAGCTTAGATGTCATCAACCAACAGTTGTCGGCGCAGTTTGCATTTCCTCTCTGAACCTTGCCTCAAGACTCCGTCATGTTGCGAGATGCTGCAATCCGTTTGTGATGCTCACCATGTGTTTGCCATGATTGTGGCACAGCCACCCTCAAAGGTCGAGCAACTTATTCAACTGCACGAAAAGACCCAGTATGCAACCTTGAAAGTCACTCACTGGCTACCCGCGTTTCCGCGTCCATTCCTTTCCGAGCAGCCAAGCTTGTCCCCGTCCATTACAAATCGATCGCTGGCCTTGGCGAGGTATCGATACTCGATGCATGGCCTGAGACCTTCAAAAATCAAGGAGACCTCGGCAGGCAACCTCGACATTCTTGTCAATACTCCTTTTGAACTCACACTACCCCTTCAATGGTTGCCTGAGCTGAAGAGTGAAGCCGCTTGAAAAACACGAGACTGCCACAAACCAGTGATTACATTCACTGATTTTGATGGTTGTCGCATGCTACCCACCAGCCGTCATGACACTCTATTTTGCAAGCCTTTCGCATGGCTTCTCCGGAGTGTGCAGAACCCTTTGGCAGGCTGGTGACAGTCTATTTGGCTGCCCAGAAAACTGGCAAATCCCCCGGCTCAACCGCCCCCTCCCCTCAAGACAAAGGGCGCACACCCGCCGCGCCGCAGTGATAGTGCAGCGGCCGTAGCGGGGCAAGAGGACCGGCCCCGTGGCGTTGGACGGGTTGGAGTCAGCAATCAGCTCGCCAGTGAAGAAGTTGATCTTCAGCCTAGCATCGTGGCTCCCCAAAAAGTTGCAGGTCCACCATCCACAATGATGAAAAACGGGAAACGGTCATCACATTTGATGGCACTCTCACCTCAGCGGCTACTGAGGAAATGATTCATTGCACCTCCCGTGATGTTCAAGCTTGGAGAAATCTGAGGCAAAAGTAGAGCAATCCTTGCTAACATACCCTTCATTTCGCGTCGCCTCTCCCATTCCTTGCAACCGCTTCCCTTACTGGTCGGGAAAGGGGAAAGCACTGCTGTGCATATACTTCGTCGATGTGGCAGTCATGCTTGCCACATCTGGCATGCATCTACACATCTGCAGAACAACCTTTCTTGACACAACATTGCAAGGAAAAGCGGCGAGCCCAGAGTATCAAGGCCCATCATATGAACCGGTATATTGTGGCTACAACCCATGCAACAAAAAAATGCCATATCAAAAATACATGTCACATGACATGTCCATCTTCCATCTCCTGAACCCCAAGCAGCCTGAGGTCGGTTTCATTGCCGCATCCTCAAAGTTTAAAGTCCTTGGGTGAGATTTCTATATATATATATATACATATATATGTATATATATATATATATATTCGACAGAGTCATCCTCGGATCCCTTCGCTAATTGTGAGATCACTGCTAATACATGTTGATTGCGAGGAAGCTATGGTCCATTTTCACCAAGTAGCTCCTTGACTCGAGCCCACCAAAATGGGAACTGGTTGACCAAACTCGAAACCGACCATGACTCCGACCCGCAAACTAGCCTGCAACCCATCCAAACTCAGACCAAACAAAACGCGAAGCAATATCAGCCCTGCATTGCAACCTTGCAAGGATTCGCTCTCATGATGGTGGCAGGCTTGAGAAGGGTCAACCTAAGAGGTTCCAAGAAAAGGAGGCAATCTTCAACAAAACATGTGACATGAGAGGGCTCAACCCGAAGCACTCAAAGCAACAACCTTGCGCAACCGGATCTAATCTTGTCCTGGACCTTGCTCGAGCAAAAGTCGGCACTTAAGCTGGATGTAGTGGACCATTCTGCTGAGGTGCCAATTATGACACACAGACTTTGTAAATCAGATGCTGATGTTTCTCAGTTTGTCTGAACCATTCTGGTTGTCACTGTGCTGAATGCTTCCGCTTTGGTACTGCCAAATGCAGCTGGATCGTCCTGCTTAGTTCCAAATTCAGATTTTCAGATCGACTTCTAGTTGGCTCATGCTGGAGGAGAATTCTGCTGCAATCCATCTTGAGATTGAATTTGGTTGATCGTGTTGCTTCTTCCTGGACCTGCTTGATGACTACACGCCGACAACTAGTTGAAACAAAGACCAAAACGTCCAGAAGGAAAAGCAAGACAGGATCAACTTCAGCTACGTGAAAAACAAAACCAACACACTGCTGCCTCTCACAAGCAAATATATTGGAGATTCCATGTGCCCCGTTCCGTTGAACTGCTTCATTTGGTGTGGCTTAGCTTTGCTGGGGGCCTTCTCTATTAGCATTGAATTTGCAAGTTGGTACTGGGTGTCTTGGACAAAGCACGGAGTTGGGGCGCTCTTGGACAAAGTGCGCTTTTCTCAGCCCTCAAGTGGCCATTTACTTTGCCAAACGCGTTTGCCATTTGGTTCGGCAACGCTATGGGAACCTGGGGAAAGCCAGCTGCCGCGAAGGCCGAGCTGATCCAAGTTGCCCATCAACCCACCGAACCGGCGGGTACTCAGCCAACCAAAAGCCAAGAGCGCCTGTGGATTGTCACATCGGCAGCCGTGAAGGAACAAGTCTTCCAACTGTCTCGTGCTATCGAGATGCCAAGGCAGCTCAGGTGTGCATTTCATGTCGAAGTCCCGGAAGGAGTGCTCTTTCCTCGTCTGCACCTCAAGCTCTCGAACTGCCAGGAGAGTAGAAAGAGACGTTCAATAATTCAGGCAAGAACTCATCCGAAGGCGATGATTCAGACTCATGCACCCTTTCCAGTAGTCGGGCATCATTACCTGCCCTTTCCTGCAAGGTTTACCAAGAACTGTCTTTCCTGCATGACTCACGTCCTAATTGATGTCGTCTCCCGTCACCTTTCATGGATGGTTGGAACGAAAACTGACCAAGGGATAGTTCGAAAAGGCTGCCGGCGCCCACCTTTGTCATTCACATCGCTCCAAATCAGCCACCGGCGCGGTGTAATTGTAGCCAGGCTTGAAGGTAAGCGTGGGCATGCCGTAAGTAAAGTCTGCCTGAGAGCCGGGCAAGGTCTTGCCACGTACGGCAGGAAATTGATTGACGGGAGACAAATCCCAAGGCATTATGCTTGTCTCGACTCACACTACTCTTGGATTGTGAGAGCGGAAGCGGTGTGAACATCTACTCTCTGCTTTTTGCAAGGTAGCGATCCGGATGCTCATGACTGGCAGCATGTTCGCTCTCTGCGCATCTCTCAGCAAATCCGCCAAGAACCGGTTTTTTCACACCGAGAAACGCCGAAGCCTCGACCGGACGCCTCACTGTCCGAAACAGCTCAGGATGCAACCCGACCAAAACCCTCCGACTCAAGCCCTCCGAAAGGCTCATCGTCTCGAGGTGCGTTTCAAATATGGGTCAAGATCCATCCTTGGGATGGTCTGAAGATTTGAAGGGAAACCAAAGAGTAAACTGGAAGACGTTTTGCCACACGGCCCTTGGCGATTGGTGAAATGATCAGCGGCGCTCTTCTCAAGATCCATCAACCTCCATGAGTGGCGAAATCGGTAGGCAGGAGATATTCCGCGAACCCAACTCAACAGAAACCAAGCTCGCAAAGCTCAAAAGGCTCTGAAACAATAGCAAAGACTCGGACACTCCAAGCAAACTACAGAAGCTTCTCGCAACACAATCTGTCATTTCCGATCCAGAATCGGATTTTGGTGGGCTTGTTTCAAGCAAGCGTGCTTTGTTCTGAACCTTTGCACTCTCCACCCGTTTCTCCAAGCCCTGGGATGCGGCAAGGGCTCGAAGCTCAGCTTCAACGGGGCCTGTCGGGGGCTTCCGGAAGCCAGCGCTCGTCCAACTTATGAAACGGATATGCCTTGGTTTCCTGTTGGTTTCTAGCTTGAACCAAACTGAAAAGGGTACCCCCGAAAAAGACACCATATCTCCTCAAAAAAAGGCTCCTTAAGATGCCTCCTCCTTCTGGCTTTCCCTTTAGTATCACTCCAAAAGGGTCCAAAGGCGCAAATAGAGCTGGTTGCTCAATGGGGCTGATGAAAACAGGACGAACATGACTGAGTGCATAACAACGTGAAACTTTCATCGCTCAGACACTACAGACTGGCATCATGCTGTCTGTTGTGCCCTCAAACCTCTCGCAGCTAGCATGCCTGGCCTTTATCTCGAGGCCATGTCGACTGTGTGCCAGGATCTCACAGTCGATGTCTCGAGGGTCATCAATCAGCTCGCCTTGTGCCCCGCAGTTCCAAAGAAGGCTATTGCTCGGCAAGTGCCTTTGGTCAACTCAGCTCCTGTCGCATGGACCACACACCATTCAAGGAATGAAAGCGTGTCTTCGATCAAATGCCAATCATGATTGCTTCACTGCGTCACTTGACTGTGGAGCGACTTTGCAGGAATCTTCTGAGAAAACCAACTGCTGGTGCGATCTTCAAAGCATGATGCACCGTCTTGGATGATAACAAGGGTCTAATGTCGAAGTTAATAGGAAAATGCAAGGAACAAACAAAGGAACAAAACATGTGCAAAAATGCAACAGCCGCATGTCAGCTTTGTTCCTGGTGATTTGGATGATTCAGAAGCACTGGTTTACCTGGAAGCAGCTACAGCATGGGCTGCCTGCGCAAAAGCGGCCAAACGCAACAGCTCAAGTACCCTCAGGCACTCGCCTGATATGATGCCCGAAGAGTAGTTGATGCTCAAGCCAAGTCCTGGCCCAGATCGCATGCAGTTGCTGAAGCTCGCATCTTTGCATGGATCTCTGCTGGCAAATCAAACAGCTTGCGGGTCTGCATGAATACACATGGCTCAACTCAAGGTCCATGTGTCCCATGTTCTGTTTCGTGCTTCAAACTCTCTGCATCGAGCCCATGTCCCATGTTTAGAATGGGCTGAAGAAGTCGGATCTCGCGTGCCATGGCGCATTGGGCCTGAAGGTGTCAAACAAAACTACCAGGCGCGGGCTGCCGCCTCATGCCTCCGCCCTTTTCCGTCACGTTCGCATGTCCCGAAAGAGCCATGGCTGCAAATGAGCAAATGAGCTCCCATGTAAGCAACGGATTCGGCCCAGGCTTCGGCCTATCCCCGGCTTCGTTTGGTCCCTCCGTTCGGTTCGGGTCCCCAGCTCCCAACGTCCGTTCGCTCCGTGGAGGTTGCAGTTCTTCGAGGAATAGATCGACGCCACCCGCGGCAGCGGGGCGATGCGCACGGGACTCCCCGACGGGAGACTGAGCACCTCAGAGCTCTGCACGGATTCCTCCGGATCCGACCGCCAAATCTGTGTTCTCTCGCAAGCTTTTGGGCGGGAATCCACAGGGCGCGTTCCTCCACGATGAAAATCACCCGCGAAGAAGACGATGCATCGCGGCCAAATGTAAATGTCTCTCTGCTCGCATTGTTGTTTGGGCGGGAAGCCGCAGACGGAAATCCTTGTGCAATCTGGAAAGCTTGCTCGACCAGGGCGTATCAAAGAGTAGCAGGTTCACTACAGGATGGCGACACACGATATGACCTTCCTTTTTACCCGCAAGATGTGCTTTGTGTTTAGAACTCACGCAATGGGTCACACACACACACACACACACTCCTTTCCAAACACACGCCCAGAACTTCAAACCTCCACCACCCCAAACCCGAACAACAGACTCCACGGGCTAGGCACTGGGTACACGAAGGGCGCCAGTCCCGGCAGCCCTCCGCCGCAGACGCAGCAGGCAGCCAGTGCCGAGAGGCCGTTCCGCACCTCGGGTTCTGCGAGCGGCCGTGTCTCTGTTGCAGTCCTGGTGCGGTCAAACTCAATGTAGCAAACTGCAACTCCTTCTCTAAACCGCCTGACGCGCGTTGCGGAAGTCTGCAGCACGCAAGCCATCCGGAAACTTGAAAACATGTTTGGCCTTGGCAAGCTTGCAATCTGCGTTTTGGGGAGAATAGGGCTTAAAAGCTCCACCAAAATGCCAAAAGCCAAAGGATTTCGCTGCTTGACTTGGCCAAGCACGGCATGATGCCTACCCTAGAGTTGGACAAGGTCACCCACTTGGGTCTTGGTGCAAGGGCCTGCTGGACTGCATGCAAACGCTAAGCAACGCCCAAGTCCAAGCGCGGCGCCCAACTTTCGGACTCGTTGAGGAACTGCGCCACCGCTGTCTTCGTCTTGGACTCGGCGATGGTTTTCTCTGTGACCGCACCGTGGGCGCAGAAGCCGTCCTCGCCGACGAACGGCGTGTGCGTGCTCATGGAGGAAAAGGCATGAGGTGGATGGGTGAGCCAGGACGTCCTAGCTCTTGACATCCCAGTCACCCAACACTCTACACGAAATTGAAGGCCAGAATTCCGAGTGCTAGCACAAGCGAGTATGAAGCAAAGGGGCACACAATGCTCTAGTCACACAGGACTTGCTTGGGCGATCTCTATAGCAGACTGCCTCGAAAGCAAATGTTCAACACCGCAACCTTGATTGGCATCCCTTCGTGTTGACACTTATGCCTACTATTGAAATTGGGACAGCGCCTATTCTAATATTTGCACGTCTCGCAAAACTGCCATTTGGTTGCAGGTGTTGGGCATGTTTGGTCTTGCCTCACCAATAGCTGGGGTTGTAAAGAAGCCGGTAACTTTCAGTGTCAAGCCAATCCTGAACATCTAGCTGACTCCTGGCTGCACGACAGTCAACTCCTGAGTCGACTCAGCTGAAACTAGCGCAGTACCATGTGCTTCGCTTCAGAGTTGGGAGGGCACCACATCCCTTTTGAGGAGCAAGTTTGGGGTCGGACGAT